GATAAAAAGAGTCAGACCCCTTGTTCAAGTTTTGAAGGGTTTTTATACTATTATATGAGGAATGTAAGCAAAAGGTACATAGCATGATAGATTAATCAGGTCAATTGAGAGAAAGCATCAAGACACAGACAAAACTCCAGCAGGATAGTTTATTAGCAGAGGAAAAGTGCAGGAGACAATTCCCTTTGGGATAGGGATGTTGTCAGTCTACAGGTTGTGGGCTGGAGGTCTTTATAACGGGGCTTCAGGGGATGCAGATTTTTGTTTTTGTTTTTGTTTTCTTTTTGAAAGTTAGGCAGGAGAGAGGGAGCCCAGGGCTTATCAGAACAGCGTCTGTTAAAACCACCCCCTTCCATCCCCTTCCATCAGCCAGGATCTGGGTTATGGGGTAAGGAGTCTATACATTGTAAAACTTATCAGGGGGAAATGGATCCGGAGTGCAGGAGCTTGTTTTATAGTAATAGAACAAACAAAGCCATAAATCAAGGTATTTTCAAGTACATTAGGTAGGCAGGTTATAACAAAAGGGAAATCTCTGCTTTAGGCTTCAGATGCTATCTGGTGGCATTCTTTTCATCGGCCTTTTGGCCAATGAAAGCTAGTGGTCTGTTAATACATTCTAAAGGTTTTACCTGTTAGTCACAAGGATATTAGGTCAAGCACTGATGTGAGCAAGGAATGGGCTATTAAGGGGCCTGAAGAGAGTCCAAAGTAAATTGGGCTCTGGACCTGCAACACTCCCAACCTCTCTACCTTCTAATCAATTAGTCAGACTTTCAGAAGGTTCAGTGTAAACTGTGGCTCTTTCTGGGATATATCCTCTGTGTACGTGCGTGTGTGCATATGCGTGTGTGTGTGTGTGTGTGTGTTTAGGCAGGAATGCCAGGGTATATGTGCAGAGGTCAGAAGACAAATTTAGGGCATCAGTTCTCTCCCTCCACTGTGGTTTCAGGGATCAAACTGAGGTCATCAGCCTGTGATAAGCACTTTTTACCTGCTGAGCCATCTTATTCTTTTTTACAGAATTGTTCCTGTAAAATTATGACAATTGTCTACTTACCTAAAAACAGGCTCTTGTTTATTCTTGTAATTTTTTTTATGCATGCATGTGTGGGTATGTGCAAGTGCCCAGACAGAATTTCCCTGGAGCTGGAATTACAGGCAGCTGTGAACTACCAGATGTGGCTGCTGGGAACCAAACTCTGGTCCTCTAGAAGGGCAGGAAGTGCTATTAACCACTGAACTATCTCTCCAAACTGTTTTTTAATTCTTTAACTGATGGAGAAAAATAACCCATCTCCTAGCCAGTACTGACACTTGATCACGGTGCATCACAAGACCTGTTTCCTCACCTCCCTTTATTGATCACGTAGGTACCGTCTCACCTCATCACAAAATGGGTAAGAACTGAGTCTACAACCACATAACTATATATTTTTAAATTTTATTTATTTATTTATTTACTTATTTTTATGTGTATGAGTGTTTTGCCTGCATGTATGTAAAAGCACCTGTGTTGTACCATGCCCTCAAAGGCCAGAAAAGGGTGTTGGATCCCTTGGAACTGGAGTTATAAACTGCTGTTGGCCACAATGTAGGTACTAGAAACCAAACATGGGTCCTCTGTGTTGGGCTGAACTCGGACCCAAGATGGTCACTATGGACCAGCAACATGGCAACCACAACCAGGCTGCAGTATTCCAGGAAACAGAAATTAAACCATCCCAGTTTCTCAGTAACCACCTGATCTTTGTTTTACCAATGCACCCTGATCATAATAGAAATTTAACATTGCAGTCAACTGAAAAACACCTAACTGAAACTCCCCCCTACCAAGGCACCTGCTACTGACTCACCTTTCTGCTAGTCTCCCCCTACCCACAAAAGAAAAATCCTATAAAATCCAGCCTGCTGTGACGAGAAACCAATGCTCTATTTCTCCCATGGGAGCAGTCCAGCAGCTCATACATCCCTTTAAATTTCTCCTTGTGGTCCTGGTCTTTTCACAAACCAAACAACCTGCCAGAGTATCCATGCTCTTAACCATTGAGCCACCTCTGCAGCCCCTATATTTATTTTTACATGTGACAAATGTATTCCTTTTTATTGTTGCTAAAGTTTTCTTCAATGTCTTTAAGTAACAGCACTTTATCTTATTTAATTCCGCTATTATGGTTTGGAGCCCTGCACTGTTAGAGTTCAGATCTGCAACAGCTCCCTCCCCAACAGGGCCTCATGGTTTTCCAAGCCCCTAAGAATGCAGGAACGGAGTTAATGAGCACCCTGGTCTTTGAGGACAAGGGAAACAGACTCTCTGCACCTTCTGGGCAAATGCAGCCTGCTTCCCCTTTGATGATCTTGGAAGCAGAACAGGCTCCTGCACTCTGGATCCATTAATGTAGGAACTTCCCCCTGATAAGTTTTACAACGTATAGACTCCTTACCCATAACCCAGATCCTGGCTGACAGAAGGGGATGGAAGGGGGCAGTTTTAACAGAAGTTGTTCTGATAAGCCCTGGGCTCCCTCTCTCCCCCCTTTTTTTTTTTTTTAAATCTTTCCGCCTTCTGCATCCCTCAAAGTCCCCCCCTATAAAAATCCCCAACAGCCTAAGGGCTGACTACTAGGGATTCCCCCCCCACCCCGTGTGCTTTTCCTCTGCTAATAAACTCTGTCCCGCTGGAGTTTTGTCTGTGTCCTGGTGCTTTCTCCCGATTGATCTGATTCATCTATCATGCACACTCCCTTTTCACTTCAAAGGTAACCTCTTCATAGGTGACCTCACTCTTGCCATTAGTGCCCAGACCAGGCCATTTGTCAAGCTCTTCAAGAAAAGCATCAAAAGTAATTCTGGGGTATTCTGGTTTTTTCTCCATTGCTGTGACAAAACACTCTGACCACTACCAACTTGGGGAGGAAAGAATTTATTCAGCTTACATCTCCCAGGTCGTAGTTCATCAGGGAGCCCAAGGTAGAAACTCAGGGCAGGAACCTGGAAGTAAGAGCTGGAGCACAGGCCATGGAGGAATGCTGCTTACTGGCTTGCTCCCCTTGCCCCTGCTCAGTCTGCTTTCTTATGCAACACAGGCCCACCCGCCCAGGGGTGGCACCACCAACAGTGGGCTTGACCCTCCCACATCACTCATCAAGAAGATGCCCCTTAGATATGGCCACAGGCCAGTCCAATAGAGGTAATCCCCCAATTGAGGCTCCCTCAACCCAGGTGTGTCAAGTTGACACACAGGTATTGAGCATGTTAAAGCTGTGATGATATGCTTCTTCTAAAAAAAAATTTTAAAAATTTAAAAAAAAGTAATTCTGGGGGTCTGGGGATGTAGCTCAGTTGGTAGATTTCTTTCCTAGAATGCACAAGACCCTGGGTTTTATCTGTGGCACCACATAAATTGGGCCTGCTATCCCAGCACTCAGAAGGTGGATCAGGAAGTTCAAGATCATTCCTGGCTAACAAAATAGCAAGCCTGAGGCCAACCTGGGCTACTTCCTTCCTTCTTTCCTTTCTAATGGTTTGGGTTTTTGTTTTGTTTTGTTTGAGACAGGGTCTCTCTATGTCACACTGGCTGGTGTGGAACTCACTATGTAGACCAAGCTGTCCTGGAACTCAGAGTGATCTGCCTGCCTCCCTGAGTGCTGGGATTAAAGGTGCACACTACCACACCAAAAAGGGCCCTTTTTTCAAAAAAAAAAAAAAAAAAAAAAAAAAAGCAAAGAAAAAGTACTTCTGTCTCCAAGAGCAGACCAGTGCCAACATTTCTCAGGTGGGCCAGCACACATCGCTATTGCTGGAGACAGTATTCCCTACACTTTTTTAACTTTACAAACTTTTATTTTGTGAGAGCTTTGCCTGGATGTATGTAAGTGCACTACATGTGTGCATGCCTACAGAGGTTAGAAGAGGATGTTGGACCCCCTGGAACTGGAGTTATAGATGGCTATTAGCCACCCTCTGGGTGCTGGGACCTGAACCTGGGTCCTCTGCAGGAGCAGCCAGAGCTCTGAACTGCTGAGCCATCTCTCCAGCCCCTCACTCAGCTCTTGTAGCTCTATTTTCTCATGTAAACAGGAGGCACACACACTGAGTTCATGCTGGGATCACAATACTGCAGCCTGGGATTTTAATGAGATGGGCTACAGTGACACTGGCAGCTCCCAGGACATCTACTCTGCAGCTCAGGTCACAGACCCCGGGCCCGGTTGCTCTCCCTAGTGGTTCCTTCTAGTTCTGAAGTTCTAAGATTCTCCAAGAAGGGTTGGAAGAAGACAGAAGGGAGAAAGATAATGGAAAGATTCGGCTGGCAGAGTATTACTCTTTAAAAGGTTTAGTGTCAAGGAATGGGGATGTCCACAGATTGTCTAACCTGCCTCTTTTCACAGGCATACTGCTCACATTGAAAGCCCTTACACAGCATCTAGCAGCTATCCAAGTATCACCTCTTTCAAGTCACCAGATTCCAGATGATTCACACACCCTTCTGCCTCTCTCCACCCCATCCTCCTATCTGGACGTCACTTTATCTTATGTCCCTCCACAAGTCCAATTTCTAACTTACAAGTTATTTCTTGTCCTTTCCAGGAAAGTATTATACTACTTTAAATTTCTCATCTCCACACCCAGACCCAGAAACCCCCAGCCTACTCACACTAATGTAAAGTCAGCACCATGTTGCTGATGTTAGGGTCCGTGACTCAGTGAGTCTCTTCTGGAGAACAAATGCACGAGTATGGAGATGCAAAAATCAAGCAGAGTTTTACTAAACCAGCTAGCTGGGGCCCTTCCAAGACATGCAGGTCTGGTTAGAGCGATTGACCCTGAGGCAATTTTAGGTAAAGATTATATAGGCTCCCCCAACCATTACACAAAAGCCCGCATTTATACAGCCAATAGTTTCAAAGCAAGCATTTCACAAACCAATAACTTTAAAACAAGAAAAATATTACAACTCCCTTCAGGTGTCTCAATCGGGGAGAGATGGTTGGTATGTGCCTGCTACGAGTCTTTCTTGTTATCTTGTGTAAGCAGACATGTCTACATGACATGACACAGAATAGGTCAGGCTCCGGAGGCTGTAGCACTTTGCCTCTATCTCTGGATGCCTGTGTCTCCAGTTGAGTTAATTGGTTACAAGCAGTAAATTTAAACAAGTAAATTCAAGCAATAAATTCAGACAAGCAGTATGTTCAAACAAGCAGTAAATTCCTCTTTCCCTAACAGCTGACTGGCATCTAACATGTACTAAATGGGAGAATGAGTGGAATTCTACTTTGAAACCAGACTGTACAGAGCAAACGACCCTGGTAGCCAGACCCTTAGACATCTGGATGGCTCTGCCCACATTGCCTGTTTCCGTCCATTTCCCTGTTCCACAGCCTCCTGACTCCGCTCCATCTTCAAGGACACTATGAAGGCACCTGGCTCAGAACCACTGCCATCCAAGGAGCGTGAGTTCTCAGGGCTGAGCAAATGTTGGGGGGGCAGATCCCCCAAATCCCAATCATTTTCTGCTTCACTTGACTCCTCCAGATAGGAGCTGCTCCTGCTGCCTACATTGCTGTTGTAACTCCAGAAACTATCATAGCCCCCCAAGAGCTCCAAGTCCTTTTCTTCCTCTTCTTCCATTGGTTCTGAAGATGGGGTCTCCTCAGGGCCTCGAGGCTTCGCCATGACACCAAATTCAAGTTTCCTCAACCGTCACTAGGTGCAGGAAGCCATATTCCACTCCTACATTTTTTCAGGTTTGATTACAAAGTGAAATCACCATCTGATTTTTCATCTGCTCAAAGGAACACAATTCACCTGAGTCCACTGACTCCACTCGTGGAGCTGTTTCTCAACATGTAAAGAACCTGCATCAGGGCACTTTTCTGGCAGTCATGATGTAACCAGTATGAAGAAGCAGATGGATCACCCACTGGCTTAGTCAGCACTTGTGCTGAGCGCTGCTGTTTGTCCTCTTTCCAAGGCTTTCTTTCACCCCCCTTTCTTTCCTTGCCTCCCATTTCACATGTTCTTTTGTTCCAGAGAGGTAGTTGCTAGTGACACAGATCGTATCACGTTCTCAGAAACTGTAAAATGAGCTTGTGGTGGAGTGCCAGAGGAGGATGGTGTCTGCATCGCTCTATTTTGAATTTCTGCTAGAATGACCATTTGTTCAATTCTTTTTTCAGCTTAGTATTTTCCATTCGAAGTCCCTTCTGCAAAGCTGCTCTCTGAGAAGAGCAACTTGCAGCTCAAGATGCTCAGTGATTTGGTCTGCTGTTCTACCCTTCTGCCCTAGTCTCTTCAAAACAGCATCACTATTTGACACTTTTGCCAAGAAATGGCAGAAAATCACATAGCAGCAGCTCCAGAGCAGCCCCAGTTGGGTACAAGCCTGGACCTGGTTTGAGGTTTTTGAAAAAGAGTCTCACTCTGTCATCCAGGCTGGCCTCAAACTTCTGGGCAAGCCTCCTGCCTCAGCCCCTCAAGTTCTTGGGATTATGGATGTTAGCCACCACATCTGGCTCACACAACTTTTATTACAGCTAGTTGTTTTATTTTATTATTAGATTTTGTTACTCTCTCACTGTACCAAAAAATAAACCATAAGTATGTAGGTATATGGGGGGAGAAAACAGTAAATACAGGGTTTAGTACTATCTACTGACTGCCCCAAATCCACTGCAATTGCTACTGAGGATAGACCAGGGTAAACCCTCTGGTATTGCCTGCTTTTAGTTACTTTATTCATTTACTGGGGGAAGGGGTTGAGGCAGTACCTTGCTGTAAGCCCAGGCTGGCATGACACTGAAGGCAATCCTCCTGCCTCAGCCTCCCAAAGTGCTAGGATTACAGGTTTGAGCCTGGTATTTTAATTTTTAATTTATTTTTATTTTATTTTTGAGTCAGGGTCTCACTGTATAGCTCCGGCTCTGCTTCCCAAGTGTTGGGATTCAAGGTGTGTGCCACCACATGTGGCTCATTTTTTAAAATGTTTTATAATTTTATTTTTGTTTTACGTGTATGACTGTACTGCCTGCATGCACCCATGTGGTGATGCAATGCCCACAGAGGCCAGAAGAGGGTGTTGGCTCTGCTGGAACTGAAATTAAGGTTAAGCAGTCAATGCTCTTAACCACTGAGCCATCTCTCCAACCCCTATTTTTTTAACTAATTATTATGCATGCACATGTGCATGGTGTACATATGGGTATGTGCATGATGTGAGGGTATGTGCATAATGTGAGGAGATGCACATGTGGAAGTCAGGGGACAACTTTGTGGAGTTGGTTCCCTCTTTCTATCTTTAAGGCATTCCAGGGATTGAACTCAAGTCACAGGCTTATGCAGCAAGTGCTTTTATTTGCTGAGCCATCTCGCCAGGCATGGCCTGGTGCTTTTGGTTAATTTTAAAAGATGTTAATTTTGGAGGCCACATAGTTGGGCAATCTATTATTAGTCTCCTACAAGCTTTCCTTTAGATGGCACATCTGAGGCCACTTTAAGAGTTAAAAAGCTAAACAGTTAAAACCATTAGTGAAAAATTACATTTCACTGTCTTGATGTGGACAGTTACTCTCAGTTATATTTTTCTGTCCTTGGAGGATAAAGCTGCATTTCTCTGTCTCCACTAGTTCTCTGAAGAAAAGGAGCTGTGATGATTTATATTGATTGTCAACCTGCCAGGATCTGGGATCACTCACCTGAGAGACAAATATCTGGGCAAGTCTAGGAGGGATTACCTGGATTAGGTTAATAAAATGGGACGATCCACCTAAAATATGGGCAGAACCAGACTGCACAAAAAGGAAAATGTGAGCTGAGCAAGAGCATTTATCACTCTGCTTCTTGACCAGCTTCCTCAAGCTCCTGCCACCATGACTTTCCAGCCTTGATGAATTACACCCTGGAACTGTGAGCCCAAATAAGCCCTTTCTTCCTTAAGTTGCTTTTGTCAGGGTGTTTATGACAGCAACAGGAAAAGTAACTAATAGAGTGGCGCATATCTATATCTATATCTATATAGATATATTTCTTTTTTGGTCTTTTTGAGACAGGGTTTCCCTGTAGCCCCAGCTGGCCTTGAAATCCAGAGATCCACTTGCCTCTGCCTCCCCAGTGCTGGGATTAAAGGCTTGTGCCACCATACCCAGCCTATACTGTTTATTATTTTTTATTTTATATGCATGAGCGTAACGCCTGCATGTAGGTAGATACGTCAGTGTTGTACAATGCCCACAGAGATCAGAAGAGAGCATCAGATCCCCTGGAACTGGAGTTAAGGACAGTTATTAGCTGCCATTTGGGTGCTGGGAATCGAACTTGGGTCCTCTGCAAGAGCAGCCAGTGCTCTTAACCACTGAGCCATCTCTCCAGCCCCTAGAAATGGAATTTTAAAAAATGTTTTGTCATGCTGGGCGCAAGCCTTTAATCCCAACTCTTGGGAAGCAGAGGCTGGTGGATCTCTCTGAGTTCAAGATCAGCCTGGTATCCATAGCGAATCCAGGTCAACTGTGGCAACAGGGAGACCCTGTCTCAAAAGACCAAAAAAAAAATTTAGTCATAAGACTTCCTAATGAGTAACTTCATAGAGTTACAGAACATCTGGGCCAGGCCTGGTATCACAGGACTTTAATTCCAGCACTCAGAAGGTAGAAGTCAGGTGGATCTCTCTGAGATCAGGCCAGCCTGGTTGTGTCCCAGAAACCTGGTTCCTCCAAGGGATGGGGCATGCCATGGAGAAGGGACTGCGGAGGGGCTTCTGGAAGCCATCTTGGGATGGAAGCCGGGAGAGCGGAAGCCAGGAGCACCCCAAGATGCGTGGGCCAGTTAATGGGTGGGTGTGGCAGCCCACAGGGCAGAGCTGAGAGCTGGGTGCCAGGTGTTAGTCTCTGTAAGTTTCTCCATCCCCCCCACAAGATATAAACTATAATAAATTCACATAAAAATATATTACATGGTTTTTCTGATAGTGCAAGAGACCCAGAGAGGACTCTGGCAACACTGGTCTAGATAGTGAAGTCCAGGTCAGCTGGAGCTACAGGAAGACCCTGTCTCAAAAAAAAGGGGGGGGGGGCTGGAGAGATGGCTCAGCAGTTAAGAGCACTGACTGCTCTTGCAGAAGACCCAGATTAGAATCCCAGCACCCAACATGGTAGCTAACAACCATCTATTACTCCAGTTCCAGGGGATCTGATGCCCCCTTCTATCCTCCTCCAGCACTGCACAACGTGGGTACACTTACATGCAGGTATAACACTCCTACACATAAAAAGAAAATAAGAAACAAAAACAAAAATTAGAGTTATAGAACATCTGGTGGACTACAGATAATAGATCATGGGTCAGAAAAGCAGAACACCCAGACATGCACGGTGGTACACTCCAGAACATAGCAAACACCTGTCTCTGGGAGAGAAAACAATTTGCTCCCAACTTACTGGTCTGTTCAGCCTGTCAAAGAATGAATATAGACTCACCATTTCAGACCCACATCTGCTGCTGGTCTTGGAACACAGGCCTGGTGGATAAGCAGAAGGACTACAGTACATGAAATTCAAACGTCAGTATCTATAGTAGTTTTATTGGAACACAGCACCAACATTTCATAATGACTATAACTCCTTTTGAGCTACAAATAGGAGCAGTAACCAAGTCAGTAGGACTCAGATATCCTAAAATATTTACTATTTGTTCCTTTACACAGAAAGATTGCTTAGCCCTATCCTTCACTCTTCTCTCCCACCTCCCCAATGTAGCCATCCCTACATGCAGTCTCTAACAGACCACCTTTTTCTCTCTGATCGCTACCCCCATGCTAACACTATTGGCGTTCCCATGAAATAGTCGCACACTGGGGACCAATGTTTAAGAGTCCTTTTACTTGTCTAATATATGTGTGCACCATCGAACCCTCAGCACTCAGCCCAATGCTGTGTCCTCATTCATTACTTAAACATATAACGCTCAGCTGGGGGGGTGTGCCGTGGGCTCAATCCTCAACATTGCAAAAATAAATGTGTATTGAGTAGCATGCTGAACAGATGGCTGAGGTGGTCCCAACGTTCAACGAGTTACAAAGGAACTTTTGGTATAAAACCAACAAATGACTCTGCAAGGATGAATGAGAAAAGCACTAAAAAGCAAGCATTCTGCAGCAGACCCAGAGAGGGAATCCTACTTGGGGAACCAGGCCCTTGACCCCCACCGTGACATTCTTACTGAGTTTATGTGCTGTCAGAGAGTGTCCTCATTTGAAAAATACGCTCAACCATTCCAGTTTGGCACGGTTATAATGAAAAGGGTCCACTCCTCACATAAGGCAGCAGCACGAGGCTCAGCACCTGCTTCAGGTGCTCTGGATGGAGACAGTCGCTGTCATCCTGTAAAACCCTGAGTTTTGAGTCAGTGGCGTCTTGGTGTGCAAAGCGGAGCCCCGCATCCCACCATCGAACCCTCAGCACTCAGCCCAATGCTGTGTCCTCATTGATTGAGGCAAGAGCAGCGACCTCCCAGAGCCTTGGCTTCCACAGCTTTCAGCAAGCACAGCTGGGAGGTGGTACAGCGGGAACTCCTGGGGAACCGCTACGAGTAACCCCGGCAACCCGCGGGGCAGAAGAACTACAACTCCCGGCGGGCTTTGCCCGCGTTTAGGGCTCCTCTACATTTTAACATGCCCAGCCTTCGGAAGCTCCGCCCCCAGGGCGCGGCAGCTTTCCCCTCCGTAGCTCCGCGCGCGGCCACGCCTCAGGACCGACTACGAGTGACGTCATCATGGCTTGCGCAGCGCGCGGGGTCGGGAGTTGGCAGATGGCCCTGGACGGTGGGTGGAGGCCTGGGACCGTAGACTAGGCATCTGAGGGCGCAGGGATGCCTTCGTCGCAGCCGGTCTGTCAGCTCCTGGAACTGTGAGTCCGCCCGGGCCGCCTCCCTCGTGCTTCCCCGGCCCCTCGCTCCCTCCCCGGCCCTTCCCGCTCCTACCTCGGAAGCCCCGCTGCTTCCTAGCCCCAGGTTGCGTCTGTCGCCTCCCCGCCGAGGATCGCGGTGCTGCGTGTGCGGGCGGCCTTTCCTCGGTGCCTCCGGCAGCCTGGACCCCGCAGCTCAGCCGCGGTGGCGGGGCCGGAGCAGCGACAGCCTCGCTGAACAAAGGAAGCGTCCGCCGGCCCTCAGAGCCCGGCCGAGGCGGGCGCGGCTCGACAGCCCGGGTGCACGGACAGTAACAGCCTCTCCCTGTGCCCGAGCTCTTTAGTGGGAGCGGGGCGTGTAGTCCAGCGCGCTGCAAGCTGGGGCACGGTTGCCGTGAATTCGAGGCCAGCCTGGGTTACAGTGTGAGGCTTTCAAAAAAGCCAAATAAAGGGAAATTTGAGAATTCGTTAATACTAGTACCTATCTCCCATGGAGTCTTTGTGAATAAACATGTGTAAAGCCTTTAGAAGGACACCACAGGGCGTGATGGCACACACGTGTCAGCCAAACCCTTGAGAGGTGAAGGAGGATCAGATGATCAAGGCCATCCTCAGCTACAAGGAGAGATAGAAGCCAGCTTCGACTGCATGAAACCCTGTCTCAAAAACTAAACAGCCAGGGCTACATAGTGAGACCCTGTCCCGAACAGAAGAAGCCCTTTGGTGCCTCAGTGTTTGCTATTGTAACTTTTAAAAAACAAAACCCCAAAGAAAAGTAGCCAGTTTCTTGGCTAAAAGTCAAAATGTCATTAGGCCTCTTAGCAACATGCTCTGTTCCAAAGGCCAAAATGTCAAAAGTATTTGGGAGCTCTTATCCATAAAATATTTCAGTTACCTCTTCAGAGGGGGCAATGTTAGAGTAGCAAAAAGCCCCATTAAAATAAAGAGTACAGGAAGTTATCAGAAAAAAGTGATGGGGAGATACAGGAGGTGGCGGAGGGGAGGGAGTGGACAGGATTTGTTCAAAACACCTTATATGCACGTATGAAATTCTCAATAAAGTTTTTTTTTTTTAAGTTAAAAAAAAAAAAGCCCTTAATCCCGGCATTGGGGAGGCTGGGACCTGGTATGCATAGCGAGTTCCAGGCCAGCTGTGGCTATAGGGAGACCCTGTCTCAAAAAGATCGAAAAAAAAAAAAAAAAAGAAACACAAAGAAGCAAACAGTAATGGTTTAAGACGACAAAGACACTATTTTGGGTCCTTTCGTGCATCTCACATTGCATGACAAGGGGCGTAGCCTGCCTGGGTGTCAGTGTCCTCATCAGTATTGCTTTGTTGCTAATTTTTTTCCTTGAGACAGAGTCTCAGGGAGCCCATACTGGCTGTTTAAACACTATGTAGCCAAGGATAACCTTAAACTTGTGATCTTCTTGCTTCCATCTCCTGAATGCTGGGATTACAGGCATCAGGCATGTACCACCATGTCCAGTTTACTGGGCATCAAACCCAGACTCTGTGGATGCTGCACTAGCACAGTACCAACTGAGCTACATCCCTAGCCCTGTTGTTTTGTTTTGAGGTAGTGTCTTGTACCCCAGGTAGGCCTTATGCTCACTGTTTATTCGAGGCTGACCTTGAACTCCTGATCCTTTCTGTCCTATACTCCTGAGTACTGACATTATAGGCCTGAGTCACCACCAGCAGCTTGGTTGGCTTTTGTTTGGTTGGCTTTTGTTTTGGTTTTTTGAGACTGACAGTTGGTTTCTGGTTTGTAAAAAAGGATCTTAAAGCTGGGCATGGTGGCGCATGCTTTTAATCCCAGCACTTGGGAGGCAAAGACAGGCAGATCTCTGTGAGTTCAAGGCCAGCCTGGTCTACATAGTGAGTTCCAGGACAGCTGGGGCTACAGGGAGACCCTGTCTCAAAAAGACCAAAAAAAGACCAAAAAATAAATAAAAAAGGATCTTGAGTCAGATTTAGCCATGCCACAAAGCATATTAGTGCAGCAGGTGGGACTTTGGCCGTGAAGGAAACAGTGCTTGGTTCATATCCTGGAGCTGCCCCTCACCTCCTCACTCACCACCATCTTGTCAAGCACTCCCTTCAAGAACCCTTTGGATCTGGCATCTGGTGATCATTTTTGAATAGAAGAACCAAGAAAAGATAAGAATCAGAAATTATCCTAAAATTTTCAGCTTTGATCAATTGGGAGAATGATGATGAGACTATTATGGAAGAAAAAATATGAGGGAAATGTATTATAACACCTGGCAGAAATATCAAGCAGGAATATAATTTTTAATCTGAGAGCTAGGTATGGTGCCTGTAGTCTCAGCACTAGGAGGCAGAGGCAGGTGGATTTCTGTGAGCTCAAAGTCAGCCTGGTGGTCTACATAGCGAGTTCCAGGCCAGCCCGGGCTATATAGTAAGAACCAGTTTCAAAAAAAACAAAAGGTTTTTTAAAACTCTAATCTGAGAGGTAGAGGTTGAGGCTGTCGGTCAACCCTATCACTTAGGGATATGTTGGTAGATGGTACAGTCCTTTACTTTAAAACTCTAAAGACCATCAGAAAACTTTCAAATTGATAAATACTTTTTTTTTTTTTTTTTTTGGTGTGTTTGAGACAGAATCTCTCTGTAGCCCCAGCTGGTCTGGAACTCGCTATGTAGACCAGGCTGGCCTTGAACTCACAGAGATCAGCCTGCCTCTGCTTCCCAAGTGCTGGGACTAAAGGCTTGAGCCACCATGCCCAGCTTGATAAACACTTTTAACAAAGTAGCAGAATACAGAACATAAAAATTAGTAGCTAGCTGGTCATGGTGGTACACATCCTTAACCCCAGCACTTATACTCCAGAGGCAGAGGCAGATGGATCTTTGCAAGTTCCGTGCTAGCCTAGAGTACATAGTGAGACACCCATCTCAAAAAGAAAAAAAAAAAAAAAAGAAAAATCTATAGCTTATCTCTAGTAGTAATGAACATGCTGAGAAAAAAATGAAGAAAGAAAACAGTCCCATCCACAATAGCCTCAAAAACTTTAAAACACTTAAAGAAGGTGAAGAAGTCACTAGAAAATGGAAAGACCTCTCATGCCCATGGATTGACAGAATTAATATTATGAAATGGCTGTACTACACAAAACAAAAACAATTTACAAATTCAGTGCAATGTTCATCAAGATTCTAATGATTGTTCGCAGAAATGTGAAAAAATCCTAAATTTCATATGGAAGCACAAAAGACCCCCAATATTCAAAGTAGTCTTGAGCAAAACCCAATGATGAATGCCAGGGAGATAGCTCAGTAGGTAAAGTGCTTGCCATGCAAGCCTGAGGACCTGAGTTCAGCCCCCAGAACCCAGATGTGGTGGTGCTGGTTTGTAATCCCAGCACTTGGGGAGGCCAGGACAGGAGGATCTCTGGGGCTCACTCTCTGTGAGTTCAAGGCTAGCCTAGCCTACATAGTGAGTTCCAGGCCATCTGCAACTACAGGGAGACCCTGTCTCAAAAAGACCAAAAAAAAAAAAAAAGAAATGTGAAAAATTTCAGACTTTTATTTTACGTGTATGAGTGTATTGCCTACATGTATGTAAGTGTACCTATGTCATGCAATGCCATGGAGATCAAAAGAGGGCTTCAGATTCCCCTGGAGCTGGAGTTAAGGATGGTTCATAGCTGCCACATGTATGCTGGGAATCCAACCCGGGTCCTCTGCAAGAGCAGTCAGTGCTAACCAATGAGCCATCTCTCCAGCCCGAAGTTTCAGACTTTTAAAAGAGCAATCTGAAATATGTGTTGTCATGCCCTAGAATAAAACCAATTAGTGAAGCCACCGTATGGGGGACCCTGCCCTGAGACGATGGATAGGAAGGCATAGTGTAAACACCCTGGGACTTGGGTGTTTGGTAACAAGCCCTTTATTAAAAAATTCAGGTTTTTATACATTACAAGGAACTGGCAATCACATGGGGTTTGGCAGTTATATACAATCAGACAAGAAACAGGACATACAGCTTTTAACTGGTGCCAGTTAGGGGCTGTTTGTAAAGCAGGATGCTTGAACTTTTACTAATGGTTACCAGTGCCTGTCTGGTAATTTATTGGCCACAATGTTTTCTTTCTTAGGGCTAAAACCATAGTTAACTTTTAGCTTTTAGCCCAGGAGTAAACTTTTAACCTGGCCTGTTCTTTTAGCTAGTGATAGCTGAGAGTTATTTGTTCAGGACAAGGAGGTGGGCTAAGGGCTGTTGACCAAGATGCTCTCCCTCAGAGCAAGGAGCTTAAGCTTTTGACCCAGCCACTTTTCTGCTAGCCCTATAGTGTTCTGTGAGACAGGGATTTGAGGGACTGCTGTTTTCAGTGCCCCATCCTTCAGCAGGGTTTGTAGCTTGATCTTAAAGTTTTAGATTGATATCGCTCTAAAGCATGCCATCCTGGTTTCCTACATCACCAGTGTTTATCAAAAGGGAATAACTATCCACTGTGAAACATGCCACCATTAAAAACAGTAGAGCCAGTACTTAAGTGCCTTGAAGGGATTTCACAAGAGATTACTGAATGAAAAACATGTAGAAAAGTGGGTTAGACTGTGTTTAGAGAAGCAATGCCACCTCCTCTCGCACACACTTTTTGTATGTTTGTGTGGATCTGTATATACAAACACAGAAGAAAGAAAGTATACCCTAGATTAACATGAGACACTAATGGCAATTGAGTAAGGGCAGGAGACAAAAAGGTGAAAAAACCACAATAGGAAAAGAAAAAAAAGATGGTCACAGCCAGGCGTGGTGGCACACGCCTTTAATCCCGGCACTTGGGAGGCAGAGGCAGGTGGATCTCTGTGAGTTCAAGGCCAGCCTGGTCTACATAGTGAGTTCCAGGCCAGCTGGGGCTACAGGGAGACCCTGTCTCAAAAAGACCAAAAAAAATGGTCACAATATATTTTCACAGTAATTCATGCATGTAAAGTTTTGTGTATCTAGTGGTATTTGTAGACAGAATTTCTGGTTATGTGACACAAATATGAGTTTCTCAGATGGCTAGAATTTGAGGCCATAGATTAACCATGTTTGATACGTGGGTTTAAGGGAGGCTAAAGATCCCTTCTACCCATTTTGGTTTGTCGTTTTGTTGTTGTTTATTGTGGTATTGGGACTGAAACGAAAGGAGTATGCTTCCTGGTGCCACTGAACTACATCCTCAGCCACCCTTGCTTAAGTGGAATCTCTTGGTCTAGGAACTAAACAGGCACAGGACAAATTAGCAAGAGAAAGCACGCAGATTAGTAGTTTTTTTTGAGAGAGTGAAGACCCAGAGAAACAGCCAAAGCAGAAATCTTTCACACCATTTTGACAGAACAGTAAATGTGTGAAAGAAAGGGCGGTGATAAGGACTGGGGAGTCAGGTCTAGAGCTGACACTGAGAGCTGTGTGGTAGGGTATGAAGTTTGTGTGGCCAGTGCAGACAGTGCCCAGGCTCTGGGGGGTTATTTCTGGTCCTAGCACAAGGAGGGTGTCCAGATCCAAGGAATTTCTGTGGTTTGCTAGTGTAGGAAGGATGGAGTCAGAGCCCTTTCTACAAGCGCCCCATTGTCAGTGCTCTCGGCCTTAAGTACTTGGTGTATCAAATCTCAGTACTTGGAGTAAATTGTCCCCAGCCACAAGCTTGACGGCTGCCTCTTCTGGTAGCTCTGCATGTGCAGATATCTCTGATTTGTGCTTGTGGGAATCTTTGTGGCCAGAGATTTTTCTCTAGTGATTCCGTTACCCTCATAATTTTTTAACCCACACATTTTTTTAAGCAGTAAAAACATTTGCTTCATTACAGATACATTTTTCAGTTAGTAGGCCCATTTTAATGTTTATTGAGGAGTGTCTTAGTTTGTTTCTTCACTGCTGTGACAAAACACTCTGACCA